TGCTTGATGCTGTTTGACCTTGTATAAAGACAGTCTAGAAGGTAATCCAGCCAGTAAGTTTTTCCAATTTATCCCAATTTAATAAGTGCAGACTTTTGAATGGAAATCATCTTTGCTTTTACTCAAGCTTGTTGCAGAACTTGGTTCTGCTTCTCAACCCTTTTTCAAGCTATGGTATGCATATATTTTTGGGGGGCCATCACACGTAAGGTATGCAAAGAATTCACCAAGAATGTGACCACTTGGAGAGGTGTTGTCTGGCATCATTTCTCACCCTGTTGTTTCCAGAATGCCCTTGTACCCTGTTGCATTTTGTTGCCATGCAAAGAGGCATGTTTGGGATTCCCAGGTGCAATTTCCAGAATTAATTACTGGAGCCTCTAAGGAGACTCAGTGAAGCGAAGAACCTTCTGACTCTTGCACATAAAATACAGTCCTGCAGCAATAGGGCATCACACACTTACACAGGTTAAATGATGTAAAGACAGGTGACACAATTCTAACACACTTATTAGCTGCCACTTTTCATCAAGCACTTCATCTTCTTTGCTGAAGAAATAATAGCCTACTACAAGAGATCATGAAATGCTGTTGCACAGAGAGCTTGTTATCCTAGATGTCTGTGTGAATTATAAACATGGCATCATGTCAGGTGCTCTTTGTCCCCTTTTTCTCTCACTCACTTCTGATAATTAGTTGAAACTCAGCACTCAATAATACTGCCTTTGTTAAATGCCTGAAGGATGAGGTAAGGCTATAGGATTAAGTCCAACATTTTGTAGTCCTACACATAGTCTAGCAGGGAGAAGCCTTCAGACGAAAAAAAAGTAGTTTACTCACTTTTTCTCTCCTTTCCAACCAAATCCAACTATATGAAATTTGGATGAGCTTTTATTATTGGCTCTTACTAGGCCTGATTCAGTATTCATGCTTATGCTAAACTATCTCTATACAGAATTTTAGAATATCATTTCCAGTTAATTTCAGTGCAAACAGTGCCTTAGGTTAATAATTTTGTATTACATGAATAATTTTATAATCATAAAATTATTACATTATATTATTACAGTAATTATTATTATGTTAATAATTTTATGTTACATTTTTATAGACTTTTCTCTTATCCCCTATTCCAGAAACAATGAAAAAAAGAAAAAAGAAAAAAAAAAAAAGAAAAAAAAAAAAGGAAGAGAAAGTAGACATTCTTCTTGACTTTGCAGTGAGGCTTTCCCTGCTTCCCACAAAGAATGGGGGACCAGTGAATAAAAAGTTCTCCTTTGCAGTGTAAGTTGTGAAGTTAGTTATGTCAGAGAAGAGTGGATGCATGAATTTGCTTTGCCAAAATGGTAGTGTCCACATTAACTTGATATTAATGGGTACATATGGTAAAGTGACATTGAGAATCTGCTTAAAGGTTTACATTAAATTGGAACAAGGCTCTCAGGCATGGTGAGCATAAAATCAATGTGACTAATAAAAATTTGGAAGGCAACAAACGACCACTGGATTATATTCCAAATTATAAGCAATCTATATCTTCCAATAAGTAATAGTATCATGTGTCTTTGATGACGTTTGCAATGGCTTTACCCGGACAGAAACTATACTATTTTTTATAAGTGTTACTGGCAAATAGAACTCCAAATTAAGACTAATGTATTCTCCCCTTGTTTTAGGAAAGAGTCTTGAGAACTTTGAAAGGAAAAACATTTTATCGATTTCTGCATGTCCTTCTTGTGTCTCTGTACATATATACTATAGAGGTATATTGTACTATGATTATTTTTTATTATTTTCTTTGCCATTTTTCCTCAAAAAGTCATGCTTACAAGCCTCTTCAATTGAAAGAATAGTTTAAATTGTCTGTAATCAATCCCCTGTTACTGACAGCTTTGAAATAATGATAATTTTTCTTGCAATTGAAACCTAGTTATTAGAACCCTCTAATTCCAGGCTGAATGTTCATGTCTGTTTTCAGGTGAAGAACTAGGTTATAGATCTGTCACCTCCTTTGCCCTTTGATTCTTTAAAGGCATGTGTTTTTACAACTCAGTTCATCCTCACCAGAGCAGTCAGGACTCCTATGACACATAGTAAGCAAGATAGGAGACGTAATTTTTCCATTCACAGGACCACTGTTTCCCAGTGGGACTTAGGAACAGCAGCTTAACAATACTCATGATGTTTGGTGTTACTAGCAGCACCCTGATCTTGATACCATAGTTTGATTAAACTAAATAAACTAGCTAGATAGAAATTTCATGTTTGCCTTCATGAAATTTAGTTATGGCTTGTTTCAAGGAAATTGGCAAAAAGTGCCTGAAACATATCAGTGGTTTATTTTTCCTTTTAGGTTAAACAAAATATTCAATGTAAATTTAGACTTCAGTACAATTTTCAAGAAGGGCATACTTCAGTTATCCTACCTGCCTTCTTTTGCAAGCGGAAAGGTAAAAATTCACATTTGTTCTGTTCCAAAATGAGTAACATGTTTAGTGTGCTTTGTCAGTTTGATGAGTTAAGTTCTACCCCCTTACAATTCAGATCAAGAATGTAGCGTGTATACAACTGGTAAAGTACTGATTTTGACACTTTATGTCAGGAAGAATTTCTGAGCAACGAAAGAGAAAATATAATATAGTTAAAGATTTGTCCTCTACTTTCTTGGTTCTGACCTTAGCATAACAGAATATTCCAAAGCCTTTAAATACAAACAACAGTAATAAAAGTAAGTATTAGATTGCCCAGTAGAAATTCATTTGATATAGTCTGTCGTGTATGTTGTGCAAAAAACAGATACTAGACCTCTTAAATTTTTTCTTAGTATAGGTGGCCAGAATTACAATAAACACAAACCTCACAATTACAGTGTCAACCCCCCAGATGGTCAGCTTCCTGAGGATCGTTTTTGTAGTGGGATTCCCAGGCGGCACAAACTTACAAAAATTATTCATCTGTGCAGGCAGTATCCTTGGGAGAAGCACAGGCTGCACTGAGCCCTGAGTGACACTGGTTGCCCAGTTGCTTCAGAAGGTCTTTAAGTGTGCTAGAAGTATACGTGACCAGCAGGCCCCACACTGGCAAGCCCTTGGGACAAAGGAGCATAAAAGTCATTTGTAGTCATAATTTTCATCAAGGGTCTTTTATTCTCAGCTAACAACCTTCATCATATGTACTGACTTGAACCATAGCCTTGAATAAGGCCATCATTCAGTGAAAGTAAAAGGATTCACAGCTCCATCAGTGAGGCATGAAACTGATCAGGCCAAGTAGTTTAGCTTCAGCTTGTTCCTGTGTGTTAAATGTCCCCTTGCAAGTCACATAATGTGAAACTACAATGAAGAACATTGAATTGTCAAGCTCAATCTTTTTTTTTTTTTTTTTTTTCCTTTGAGCCATTGAGCATAGCCTCACTGACTGTCATGTTGGTGTTAGGGATCAAAGAAGAATGTGTAAATTAAATGCAGTTAGGCCACCGTTATGTAAGCCTATTTTAGCTAAACACAATCTCCCCCACCTTCATTCAAAGCAAATTTACTCAGCAATGAACAAAGCATGAAGTTTCCATGAAGAAGGTCCACTAAGCTGAAGAGTCCAACTGTGAGCACAAATTCTTCATCTAAAAGTTTCTGCAGTGAACAGGGCTCGTGAGTAATTAAGAACAACTTCAAAATAGCAGAAAAAGTATAGCAACAGGCAACAGCAACACAGTCAATTTGTGTGCCAGCCTTTTATTTCTGATTAAAACTTCAAACTGCGTTTGTGTTAGTTTCATAATCTGACTTTATTGTAAAGGTTGGTTCAGATTTAGTTAGTGTACTCATGCTAGAAACTACTGTTATTGTTGAGATTAAGTTTCAGCAGGTGAAATCACAGTGCTTCCAGTCTCTTATCATGATAGTAGATGTGTCAGCCACAGCTCTAGCAACAACAGCAACAACATTGTTTTTTTTTTTTTTTTTTTTTTTTTTTGTTTTGTTTTCCCAACAGAGTTTTGCTGGTATTTTCTGAGAATTTTGAGGGATTGAGGAGGGTGGGTCACCCTGGATTCCATGAATTTAAATAATCTCACTGTGCCTGTACCTGGAATAGTTAAAGTCGGGTGATTTACATGTGTAAGCATCCTACAGTGTGCCCAATAATGGACAGGGTCAAGTATGTCTGGCAGAATGAGAAAAATGCATGATATTGAGGAAATGGTTAAATTTTCATCTGTCTACCTAGATATAATGCTTTATCCTGTGTATCTAGTTGCAACCATGCATGAGGTTTGCATTTTCTGGTTATAACAAAGGTATGTGGAGCTTTTAACTAGACACATAGAGAGGCATTCTTTGTTACAGCTCACTGAACTAGCCCATCTCATTTGTAAATCATTAATGATATTGACTGCTGGGTAAGTTTACTTTGGCTGTAAATCTATAAATGGCATGGGAAGATGTGGTAGAATTACTTTTCATACCTTGCTTTTAAATGAGAAAATTATATTTTCAGGGAAGATAGATGCAAAATATAAATTAAAATTTTGGAAGAAAGCATAGCAACCTCAAAAATCTAGCATTTTTTAAATCTGTAGTATTAAGTATTAGCATTATATTTCCTGTAGCTTTTTATTAGTGAGTGAGTGTATAGAGTCATGCAAAAACAGTCCACTTTAAAACTTCCAATTATGCAAGATACTTTTTTCTGTTGCTTCTTGAGGAGGCTTATTTACAGTGGTTAACAGATAGTGTTTAAAAATATATTTGTGCAGCAGGTAATTAAAAATGCATTCGGTGTTATTTTGAGTGATGAAGTGATCCAAGGCAGGAAATGACAACTTTAATGAATCTTAACATGAAGAAGTATCACAGCATTTTCCTGATTTGCCTAAGAATAATGGCCTAGGAAAATGGATATAGTGTTTTCCTACAGACATAGTAATTCTAACTTCGAATATAAGACATATTTTAATTAGGTGCAGTAAATATGAATAAATTCATATTCAGAATGGAAGAATGTTCCACATTGTTTGTATGTTCTTTTTTATTGAAGGATCTAGTTGTATAGCAAATATTAGCTTAATTAAGTTATTTTTCAACAGGGCACAGTTGGTATGAATACAGGAATAGACTTTGTCACAGGTGCATGGGAGAACTCCTGTAACCAAGTACAAGCAACAAAGTAACTCCACTCTGGAATTTCCATCTCATAAGAAATTCTGGTGTTTCAAAATGGTGTTTTGTTCTGAATTAGGACAAAAAAGAAACCACACTTTACAGAATAAAAAAATCAGGCAACTTGATGTGCTTTGCAGGAACATAATTATTGTTGTAATTTCTCTATTACACTGCACTATTTTGCCATAGGAAGGGCTGCAGGATATCGTTAAAAAATGGTTTGGCTCAGGCACCCAAGCCAAGAAAAGCACATGACTTTGAGACATTTCAGGCCATGTTACAACCCAGCGTGTACTGAACTGGTATAATTCTTATTTTAAGGGCTCTATCAAAGAGAAAAACTGAATGGAGAAACACTAAAATTCATGAAATCAAAGTTCTTCATGGTTGCCCACAGGATCCACTAGCAATTTTTTCTAAACCATGGGGCAAGTTTCCTATATTAAATTAAGATACAGTGTGAATAAGAATTCACTGGGAAAAATGTGGTTTTGGTAAGCCTTTTCTAAGGTCACACACATACCAGGCCTCATTAGGTTTGGTTCGGTTCATGGTTGACTCAGAGCAAATCTTCCAATAATTTCATAGTAAAATCAGACTTGACCATTACTTTCAAAGGTCTCTTCACAAACTTTTTTTTTTTTCACTTTAAAAAAAAAAGTATTTTACTTTTTTTTTTTTTTTTTTGGTTGTTGTTCATATTTTTCACTATTCAGACTAATTAAATATTCTTTAAAAGTTGAAGTATATTTCCCTAATGCATAATGAAAATAGATGTTTTTTTTTTTTTTTCTTATATTAAATGCTCTGAAACAGCTTCATAACAGTTAGAAACACTAACTATTCTTAATGTTAGAAATACTGCTGTAACCAGACAGAAAAGTAAAACTGTGTTTAACTATGTTTGATTTCAGAAACATGTGAATGAAGAAACAAACAAACAAAAACTTATCACAGCACAAGTGTAATTAAATGTTCTTCTTTTATTTGTTTCTCCACCCAGGGTGTAAACACACAGAGCCACTCACTTGTCTCTACAAATCTCTAGCTTCACTTTAACAATCATTAAATGTAATCTTAATATTCTAATCAAGGTGTTTTTTAGAAGAAATCTTTGAGACATATATATATATGTCTCAAATATATATATATAATATATATATATATTTCTGTTTCTAATTATTCTAATTCACACAGATACTAGCAGTTTTATGGAGGACAATGACTTGAGCAGTCTCAAAGGCATCTCAAAATAAGATGTTCTAATAATCACGTCATTGAGATATATTTTTCCAGTTTTATTTTCTACCATGTGCAAATACTCTCCTTTTTACCTTTTACATAAAAAAAGAATTTTATGAAACAGGACCAAAGAATTTACGATTATATGAAAATTAACTGTAACAAATCATAAAATTTTACACATACTAGTAAAGAAAAAACATAAATTCTTTTGAAAATTTATTTTTCATGGTTTGTAACAGATACGTCATTAGAGCAAATATCAGCCAGATATACATTATGGAAAATTGAGTTCATATCTGTATATATAAGCATCTATAAATATGTAGAAAATCCTGTAAGGTTTTGGAAAAACTTATTCCCACTTTTCTCCTCAATGAAGTGCTTCATGTAAAAAATACTACACAAGTTGCTGCTTTCTGTATATAATAGAGGGATTTTTTTTTTATTAAATAAAATCCCACCCAGCTAATTTTAAACTGTGGTCTTTTTCTTTTGTTTTATCTGTTCTTAGAAAATAGAAAATATATAAAAAATCATGCAAACAACAAAAAAGTGCTCTTTGAATTATTTGCTGTAAAATTACACAGGGAAAACAAAGAATAAACAGTTAAAATTTTTAAACTCATTCACACCTCTTCAAAGAAAGTTGAAAATACAATACAATGTGACTGATGGCCTCAGCACTTCAATACTTCATCATCCAGCACTAGGAAACCACAATCCCTATATGTATGTGTGCATATATACATGTACATATATACATAGAGAGGGATATCCAAACACATGTTCACCCATGCACTCACAAAAGTACTCATATGCTATTTGAAATTATATTTTAAACTCCAGTGTAGACCCACTTCTAATGCAGATATAAAAATACCGTGACTCTGAAAACAGAGAAGTGTATAAAAAGAATGATTGTAAATAATTTCATTAGAGTATTGTTTAATGTCCATGGTCTAAAATAACTTCATTTCTTAGGTATGAATCCCTTTAGGAAGTTAATGTTATCCAGCAACTAGAGCAACAACACAAAAATCACCAAGGTGCAAATATTTGCATACAAGTCAGAAACTGGCATTATGCATTTCATTTTCACAAGCACCATTTTCATTTTAATATGTGACAAACATGATTCCCTACCAAAACCACGATATTTTTATTTATTTATTTATTTTAAATACAATTGCCCTTGGTGATATAAGTTTATCTATCTCCCAAAGTCAGTCTGACTGGAAAGAGAATAACGAAATAATCATGAAGAATCCCCTTTGTCTATGACATGGAAGTAAAAAAAGGTGTACCTTTTTACAGAGTGGTAGCCCACTCTAATGTGCTTAACTTGGCTGTATTCTAGCTTCTTTTTTAAGATTAAGACTTGTAGAAAGCTGTATACTGTGAATGCATATATACATACATAAATCTAGGCATACACAGGAATGAATGAATGACTTGGAAATCTTTCCTTTCTCAAATTAAACTGATGAATGCAAAAATCACACCATTCTTGAAATCTGTCTCTCCACCTTCCCTTTGGTCAGGATCATCTATGACTTACAAGCCATCTGTACTCGATAGCTTGTGCTATCAGATACCAGAAGAAATATTTCAAAAAAATAAAAATCAGGGTGGTAGAGATCTGAAGTCAGCAGCAATATTTCAGTTTGATACACAGTAGCTGACAAATCCTGGATAACCATGGAGAACCTTGAAGGATTTCTATATACAAAATTAGATATATATATACACATGCATACCCATGCAGTGGGCCCAATTCTCCTCATAGTGACTTTGGTGGAAAAAAGTGCAGTCCTACAAGTTTGAAATGGGAAGTGTTCAGCATGTCTAGCTACACCTGCTGAAACAAGATATGCATGTGCAGAGATCACAGAATGGGCTTTAAGTCAGCACAAAATTAAAGCTTTACTAAAAAGGCCTAATCCTACACTAAAGCAAGTGGGATTTTTTTCCATGTGTATCTTATAGCTGTGTATGGAAACCTGATGTTATTTACTCCAATGAAATATGCATATGGTAACAAATAGAACTACTAATGGAAGGTGAAGCAGAGGGTCGTGCTTGTGATGTGAGGAATAGAATACAAAGTGGAAAAATTTAATAGAGAATTCTCTTTATTTAAGCCATATTATTACTTATTGATTTACACAGTTTATGTACATGGCTTATTCATGTCTACTTTGAGCTTACTGGATAAAAATCTCTCATTTAAATATATGAGCAGATGTGCCTGTGTGTAAGGACAAAATTCAGGAAAACAATCTTTAGAGCATTACCAGTGTTTACAAATGTCTGGACATAAATTTATCTATGCAACATAATGGCAAATTAAATTAAGAAATTGACCCACATTCTATTCAATAGCTCTGAAAAGCTTCTCAGGACAAGAAAATGTGTATAAACAATTTTTAAAATTCATCGTTCTGGATGAGTGATTTCAGAAGCATAGTTACAGTCTAGCCAGCAAGAAAGAATCTTTGGATTTTTGTCCTTCATATTAAAACAAGTTGTAAGAATATTAAAATGCAACTTATGCAGTAAGTCCACAAAATAGCTGAAAACGGAATAATCTAAAAGCTCAGTCTTACATAATGTAAGTGTTGCTCCCAAACTAAACATCCTCGCAGTGATGACTCATCTCTATTTCAAAATTGTGTTTTTAACTCATACTCTTGTGGCTATCACAAGAGGCAACCTCATTTTATTGTACCCTGTACAAAATTTGAGGACCAGAGCCTGACCCTAAGAAGAAGAAACAAAACCACTAAACCAGTTTTACATCTCTGAATAACCAGAGGGAACATAGCAAACTTACGAGTAGTTCTTCTTACTGAAAATATGTTATGGAAATTAAAATATTAGGGCAACAAAAATTTAATTGAATCAGTATGGATTGCTTTTAAATCTATGGAATTTAAGGAAGAGTATTTTAAACTTTCCTACAGAGTTATTATGGTACATACAGCAAATAAAGCCCTACAATACAGTTAAAAATCAACATAAAGTTCAAACATTATTTTTTGTCTAGCAACTGTGCTAAATATAGATGAAGTCAATGTACCTTCTCATGTAGTGCATTTTACCCTTCTTTGCATGAAGAACTGGGTCAGAAGGAATGTTGGAAAAAAGTAACTGCCATATTATATGGCTTAAATACAGAGGAATGGAAAACACACCTAAACAAAAGCCTGTAAGAAAATCCAGTTCCAAGGATCTTTGGACCCATAGAGAAGACATGCCAATGCCTCCAATGGGTAGTGCCAGGATGTGTGTGTAATTTCTCTCCCTTTTATTTTGCTGGTTTGTGTTTAACTTCAGAAGCACCAAATACAAACAGGCTGTGCAAAAAGCTGTGTATCTTTGAAATGTTTGTAGTATACTCTGGTTTTACTTCCTTTTTAAGGAATTTTCTAAAGTTGCATTCTTCAATGATTCTACTGTTCAGGTTGAAAGGAATATAGCCAACAACCAGTTTTCTTATTCAGTCTTCAAATTCCCTTTGAGAAATTAAAAAGAATAAACAACAACAATAACAACAACAACAAAAAAGTAGAGTTGCTGTGCCACAGATGAAAAGAAAAGAAAGGATTGCTAAGGTTTTGGCAAAACTTTCTTTTTCCCAATGATCTCCTTCTCAGCCGACTGCTCGGTTACTTGATGAATGCTTGGTAATTTTTTTGTTTGTTTGTTTGTTTGTTTGTTTTTTGTATGTATATTAACCCATATCCCCATACATACATGGTAGTTTTACGGAGAGAAAAAATTTGTAGAGAAATATCAGAAGGGCAAGATGAAATGGAACCAAGTTCTTGTCAGAGTTAGATGGTTTTAGCTTTCAGTGTAGACAGAAGAAAGCTGGCTGGGACAACGATCCACTGCATTTATTTGTAGGAAACTGCTATCCTCTGGCATGCTGCGGGCTGAATCACCAAAGATGCCTGTGGGCCCTGCTGGAAAGTCATAAACTGGGAAAAGTACAAAAATAATTAATTAGCCAGGATAAGTATGCCATGGAGAATACCTTAATAGTTATGCAGAGAATTGGAAACAGCTTCAGACCAAACAGACTAACAAAACAAGCAAGCCTATGTATGTCTGAAATTAATACATAACTTACTGTTTGCCAAGGGAGGAACTGTCAGAATCAAGTCTGAATTACAGCAGACTTAATCACAACTAATACTTGCACACTTAATGGATACTACAATTGTTATAACTTTTAAATTTAACCTCATGCTTGGTTACAGAATTTCATCATACCCAATACCCAGTTTCATCATACCCAATGTATAAGACAAAAAAGTATTGTAGAACTCAATTGCCATAAACCAGCCACTAGGACAGAAATTCCTATTTTCAATAAGTAATTGATGTAAGCACAAAAATAACTGCTGAAATTTTTTTGTCTTTGGGACTACATCTTTCTATAACATGAGACTTTGAAGTGACATGGCTGCACTGGCTATTTTCTGAAGGGTAAAGATGTAAAAGAGATTTCAAAGCGCAATAAATGTTAATTGAAAATCATGCTGTATAGAAGGACAAGAAAAAACTTGGGCATACTATGCAATTAAGCCCTAAGTATATTACATTGCCTTTCGCTGATTCTCTACACAGAGGTAATTTTCTCCTTTCCAGAGCAGCATGCAATACCCTTTCAGTTAGGAAGAGAGGAAGTGAAGTGTGAACAGAAAAGTGTGTAGCCAGACACTTTGTGTCATGGAAATGTGACTAAATGAATTTCAAAACAGAAAAGTCAAACATGGATATAGGAAAATTGATGGTTTAAGTCATCTTAGGTCCCTGCTACAGTTCTATCTGAGTAGGGTGGCTGAGCAAAGATCAGGCAGGGCTTGAGGGACTGTACATGTATTTAGAAATGAATATGTGATCTTGTGACTCTCTGACCACCAGAGGTTAGACCATTGAGAAACCCTCAACAGCGCAGAGTTTGCGCATGGGCTAGATATTACAGTGATCCATGGTGACTGTGTCCGAATGCTCCCCTCCTCTTTGTGAAGAGTAAACCCTGTCATGACAGGTCCCAGTCATATTCATATCTGAAGCAGATCTGTCAAAGTCCACAAACTGTACACCACTGTCTAGAAAGTCCCCAGCTGACATTTACCTGTAATACCAGAATGAGCTGAAAAAGTTCGATGAAAAACACCAAGCCCTGCCTGGCCCACTGATGTAGGTAATAAGCAGTCTTCAAAGGGAGGAACCATACTGCAAGAAACATTGTGTTGTACGTTCTTCTGAGTATCAGGATAATGGGGAGGGCAGAAAGTCTGAAGCTGACCATAAAAACCTAGAACATGGAAAAGAAAGTGGTCAATAAAAAGCTTATAAAAAGCATAAAGCATAAAGCAGCTTTCTAATGAAGCTCCCCAGGACTTTCTCCAGTTGCTACAAATTCCCAGTGCATTCTGCTTCATGGACTTCCTGACCCTAACATGATTTCTGAGAGGCACTGACTGAATAGAAGGTGAGATTTTTCAGATTTCTCCCTTTAACTTTGCGGTCCTTCTGGTTAAACTGGTAATCTCTAGACTTCACGCTGGTCTACTGTCTAAAGAATCTAAGAAATGGGTTAATTCAAAATAATAGGATTGCATAAGTAGGGTGTGAATAAAAGCAGCAGATTCACCCCTGCTGAGAAAATGGAAGAATAAATAAAATTTTGAGGTTTGCCACTGAGGGCTGGTTGATAGTGGGGGTGCCTCAGAGACTCAGAAGGGCTGCTAGCTAATGATCCACGGGGTCTCATGTTTGTATGCACAGGATTAGAGTCTCTCCTGCAGTTCAGTAGCAATGAGTCTATGGGAAGGAGAACTGCGCTCAGCTTTGTCACTTGACATAAAAGATCCCCACCAGGGTTTTTGTGTTACTTTCCATTTATTTATTTATTTTTTATTTATTTTTGTTCTTTAAGAGATATATTTGAGAGAGGCATATAAAACTGATCAAATTTGCATAGAAATTCAGACCAAAATATATATATTTATATAACCAAAACAAAGCTTCTTGGTGAAACAGGGATATATACTCAATGGAAGAGGCATAGGCAGATATCCAGCACTATCCTGACCTGTAGTTTTCTCTCATGGAAGCAATGTCATTTCTCCCCCTTAAAAAATGCTACCAGATGCAAGTTTTGCAGTTTTTGCTGAGATTATGAAGGCTGGCATTTACAGATTAAGAGACTATGTATTTATTTCTGTTTTCTGTAATATGTTCATTACAGTTCTCAGATGTCTCATATGCTAGTAATGAAACCATTATAATTTCAGTATTAAAATATTTTAAAATTATTTTTACTTTAGAAAAACCTGAGTCACTGTGAATCAAGCTCCTCTGCATTTTCTGCAGCTAGCTGTTCTTGCTGTTCTCTTTCTATGCATAGAAATGCAGGGCAAAAGACAGCGTACTACCTCCAAGATGTCACATAGAAGCTGTGGGCCTTGACTGTCAGAAACCCCAACCCAAACAAACCTCCAGTCCTCAAATTCCTTTGCAAAGGTATACTATGCTTAGAAACATACAATGATCACAAAGCACGTGGCAAATTTCCGCTGTATTGTGTCCAGGAGCTAGGTGTGTTTCTACTAACTTCCCTATAGAAGCATCCCCATGGGACTGTTTGCTAAAGCTGCACTAAGTGTTTATGTAAAGATAAGGCATTTCATGAATAATAGGGATGAAGAAAGGAAAAGGATAGAGTGGAAAACATGCTGTATCACTTTATGTGATATAACCAATTTTCTGCCAAAATGGGAAGAAGGATGAATGGTTTAGGAATTTTATTAGTTATTTTTCCTTTGAGATTATATTTCTGTGGTCTCCTTCAAGGAAACATACACATATTGGCACGTGCCTTAAGTGAAGCAAAAACCTCAGTATTTAAAGGCATCAAGATAGGCCAGGATTTTGGACAGGAAAAGACAACCTGAACCTATGCACTGAAACTTAGAACAGAATTAATAGAGAGGTCTAAGTAACAAAGATATGTGAAATATAGTCCTTGAATTTTAAATAGTAGTCTTGAAAGCCACTCTCATGTGCACAATGTGAGATACATGCTTAATTTACACATACATAATAAGACTTTAGATAGAGATGTTTCATGGAGTAACATACAAATTTTTGTCAGTCTTGTGTCTGAAAACCTGCATGAAGAAAGAGTTTTTTGCCCTCATACAAAGGAGCAAAAGAAGATAAAGAAGAAAGAAAAAATGAAGTATGGTTCCTCATCCATAGCAGGCTGCAGACATACACATCAGGCACAAACTTGTAGGCTCTGCTTGCTCTAGAGGCTGAACACTCATGTCTTCCATTATCTTTTGCAGAGGCTGTGGGTACTTGACAGCCCTGGATATAAGATGACAGTTTTGATTTTTTTTTTCCTTTAAAGTTTAACTGGAACAAAACTGATTCAGACTGGAAAGCACGTTAGGAATTTGCAACCCATCAATTCTTAAATGTTCAATCCTGGCATTCAGTAAAAAAATGAGTAAAATAAAATGAAAGAAAAAACAATAGCCATCTAAAACTTAACTTGGAAGTTACATAGCTATTGACAGCTTTTGCCCCCTTTCAAAATGCTTTTAAATTTTTCTCTCAACCAGCAATAGGACACCCTCTGAAAGTTTACTGTTGAGTCAGATAAGTTACCAGAAACAATCATTTCAGTCTACAGTGGTCTGAGCCAGCTGGCAAGACCCCTCAATACACATGCTGAAATGTTCTTTCATACTGCTCTGTACTCATTCTCTATTTCTGCTTTTCTCACAGTGTCTTGTTCCCAATGCAGAAAAATCTGGCAGTAACTTTGACTATTGCTATCCAAAGCCTGGCAGAAAAATTACTTACCTTGGGGTTGAGCTATTGTGAGTCACATCCTCTGTGTTTGCTCATTCCCTACTTGAGCAAAAGAATATTGTCTAGCAAAGTCTTAGAAGCTTTGATGCATTGGTATGTTAACCACTACATTCCAGCAAGAATCAGGGAAGTGCACAAAGAACTTAAATTAACCGATAAAACCCCAAATAAGTTTTTAAGATGGAAAAAGAACACAGAAGATTAATACCACTCTCCTAGATACACGTTATTTTTGTAATTCAGTGTCATAGATACCCATCTTATCAAATGCACAGCCATAAACAGAATGGATAAGAAGAGGGAGCATCATTCTCTTTCAATCTGTTATTGGGCACTATACTAAATGTCTCTGTCCATGTCTGTGAATATGTCTCTGTCCATATTACAGTGAATCAGGTCAAAGCAGAGCTCTTGGAACTGGAGCCTACACAAGATACAGCAAAATCTCCTAACTTGGTCTTATGAGCTCTCTAGTTTGTTCACATGGTGCTATGCCCAAACTAATCAACAGTACTGCTAAGGGTAGGATAACATGAAGCCACATAAAATTCAGGCCCTAAACCCTGAGCATACCTCCTGGCACCTCTGTTGAGATTATATGTTAGGGAATTAATGGTAGGAACAGAGGAACAGTTTTCTACCTTTTTTTTTTTTTTTTTTTTTTAATCAATGGGAAAAAAAATGAAAAGATGAAAAGGCAAACACATTGGCTAATGAACTTCCAGAAATTGAACTTATCTTCTCAGGACTGCATCTCTGGATTGTATCCGTTGCTCTGTTACCAAACTATTTTAAACATACTCATGCACAACACACACACAAGGTTACATCAATCATGTTTCTTTGAATCAATACACTATAGCCAAGATCATTGAAATCAAGACACAGGTATTTTTCTGGTATGATAACATTATTTCCTGAGGGAAGTGAAATATTCATACATATAAAAAGAATTGCTGTATGTTGCAAGAATCTCTTCTAAATGCAAGAAGCTCTTGTTCTTTATCACATACAGAGCCTTGACCTGAGAGATTCTGAGTATCTGAAAACCACAAGTACACAGATCATTTTAAATTCACAGTTGAAATTCTGGTCCACATAAGTTTGTGATGGACTCTTGATCGCATTGACCTGACAGGGACAAAGATTTCATTACTGATATGTCACTAGCTGTGACTGCCACAGTTATCATTTCCACAGGGTAGGAATTTTCTGACAGACATTTATTTCCTTCTCTGTCAGCTCTCTGCGTGGCATCACAAAGCTTTCCCAGAGAATATTTTTTCCTGAAAATCATTATAATTATTACTGAGATACACACATTATGTGTGAGTGCTTTCTGCTGCTCTGGTATGTAAAATTTCTATCTATCTTTGACCTGAACTACAGGTGTTCTATGGTGTTTCTTTGCAGCATATTTCCACAGTGTCCATTGGGTTAATTACAGAAACATCATTTAGTAGCATTTGAGTGTGAAGAGCAAAAGAAAAAGGAAAGCTAGCATAGAGCAAAAAGATATCAGTTGGACATTGTACTTCCAGATGGACTTGCAAACATGGAAAGCTAGAAATATTTATTTTTCTTTTTTTTTTTTTTAATTGATTTTGACTCTTGCTAACCAAAAAATAATTCTTACTAGTATAGCTGCCTGTATAGCTACACTCGTATAGTTAACTCGTATCAGCTAACGACTGTTTTTAAAAGAAATTGCTGCTTTTATTGCACTGATTATTTTACATTATTTTTTTCCTTCTTTCATTACTCAGCCAATACTGGTCATCATCTTAACTCACAAACACATATGGCATGAGTTACAGGCATGACTTTAAAGAACAGTCAGATTTTTAGTGCAGAAATGTTTAGGCAGAATTAGAAGCATTATTCATCAGCTACATTCATGTCCAGAGGATTTTCATGTCACTCTACACTATATGCAGAAGATTGCTCACTGTGAAGGGGGAGTTTCTATAGCTATTTTTCCTATCTCACTCACCTTTTCTGACCTGTCTCAGAAAAGTATTTTATTTTTGCAACTGCCTGTGTACTACCTGTAGTTAGTTCCTAACTGCAAGACTCACCAGCACAATGCAGGTCCTCGGCCAACTTTTGAAAATTTCCAGGACCAGGATTGTATTTTACATGTATTCTGTCTAGAAGTAGTACAATGGCATCCTAGTCAAGCTGGTAAATCATCGCACCAGGCTCCGGTTCAGGATAGTTTCAGATTTACTGTCTATGGTTATGCATTAAACAATACTGCAGTCTATTGAAAGGAAAGGAAAGGAAAGGAAAGGAAAGGAAAGGAAAGGAAAGGAAAGGAAAGGAAAGGAAAGGAAAGGAAAGGAAAGGAAGAAAGGAAAGGAAAAGGAAAGGAAAGGAAAGGAAAGGAAAGGAAAGGAAAGGAAAGGAAAGGAAAGGAAAGGAAAGGAAAGGAAAGGAAAGGAAAGGAAAGGAAAGGAAAGGAAAGGAAAGGAAAGGAAAGGAAAGGAAAGGAAAGGAAAGGAAGAGCTTCATGTCTGCAGTGCAGTTTTCTAACATCATTTCAAAACATCCCGTGCTTCAATGGAAATAATGATTTTCACAAGAGGAGGGAAAGACTGTATTTACTGCATTATATAATACTATCTAAGGCGTGAAAAAGACCCCTCAGATATTATCAGGTGCCTGATGCTGAAAATCACTCAAAACAATTCATGAAATCTCAGCTTCAGGCAATATTTTTCCCATAAAAAGCAGTATCACAATTCAAGTAGCTATTAGATATAAGAGTCTAGTCAATCTTGCATATCCTACATTTCTTTCTAAAAGATAGTGCTCTGAGATCTCCAGGAACTTGTAAATGCTCAGATTTTCTGTAAGGGATATTGTTTAGAACTTGTTTTCTTCAAAAAGCTTTCCTGGCAATGAAATTTTTCTTCCTTAGTACAGCCAATTTAAATGGAGTTGACAAGTTTAAGACTACATAATGAAACAGAAAAATGTCACAATTTTCTGGTAGTGGACAGAGCTGAAGTGGCTATAGCTACAGAACTTTAAATCATGAAAAGGCAGGATATGGACTGTAGGAGACAGAAAATAATAGAGCTTCCCATGGCTTATATAACAAATAGTCCAGGCAGGTGAAATAGCTCCATTTTGTTCTTTTATATTATAATGATGTGAACAAGGAAGGCAGAAATAATTTTGTTATTGCTGAGAAAACCTGACCATGAATTCCCAAATATTTGTTCTTTAGAGGGAGAGTTTAGGTAAGCAGACCAGCCACAAATGACAAACAAAGATTTTAGAATAGCCCATATAAGTGAGACAGCTGCACTTAAGTTGGAGGGAGAATATTCTGAAAAAATATTGTCATCTTAAAGTGACAATAAGTTACTTAGTTTTTGAAAGAATGTTTAATACCCAATTGTGGATGTTGCCTTGCCATGTATTATATCTACGAAAAAAAAAAAAAGAAAGAAAAAAAGGAGAGTTCAGCTCACATTGTCTTCCTACCAATTTTAATTGCAGAGATCTGTACAATTGCAACTTTCAGCTGCTATCTCTGCATATATAATTTCTGTCAGCAAAGTGTATTTTCAGCATAGCTTTTCCTGTGACAGGGAGGCAAGCATGGTAATACTAATGTGTGATCGAGTAAGGTAAGGGTTTAATGTCCAAACCCTTGAACTTAATCCATTTTTGGACCCATTTGGGAGACAGACTAAAGCTCTCACTTCAGTTTGGCTGTGGAGTAGGGCTTCAATATACATGTGAGATCCCCCTATATGGAGATCTATCCTGGGAATTCTTAAAATGGTTTTAATGAGCCATGTCATGGCCCTCTCTGGACCCACTCTAACAGATCCAAATCATTCTTGTGCTGGGGGCCCCAGACCTGGACACAGCACACCATCTGGGGCCTCATAAGGGCAGAGCAGAGGCGTACAGTCCCCTCCCTCGACCTGCTGGCTACTCCTCTGTTGATACAGCCCAGGATGCAGTTGGCCTTCTGGGCTCCAAGCACACACTGCTGGCTCATGTCAAACTTTTGGCAATGAACAATGAATAATGATGAGGAATAATACATTAAGAAACTTTGTTATGTGTTCTAATGACCCTTGATTATCAATGAAAATCAGAGAATAGACAAAGCCAATAATAACCCTTCACATCTATTCAAAAATCTTATGGTCTTCTTATACTAAGTTGTGCTGTATAGGGTTACCAGTTCCCAGAAGAAAGGTACCTGGTTCTCGTGTTGATCATGTACGGACTAATACAATAAGAACAAAGCAGGACTGACACCTTCCTTTCTCCTCTCACTCAAAAACTCTGGGAAATGCCTCATGGTCTTGCCTAATCACTACCCCTAGTGAGACTGTTTGCATCTGGAAAAGTAAATAAAAATAAGTGAAAGAAGCCTTAGTTTCTCAAGATACATTTCCTATGACATCTACTATAATCATTCTCAGGAAGTCTGATCAAGAGGCAGAATCCCAAGGCCTGTAAAAGTGCACTGGGCTATGTAGCTTGTGTATGTATATTTATTATATATATATATATATACACGCATACTTATATACACATATATGTGTATGCATAAATATATTACATACATATATTTAAACAGTTGAGAGGCAACGGTCTTCTGTCAATACATTCCCAAAATGTTAAAGTAATTACAATTCAGGCTTCATACTAGCTAAAAAAAAAAATAATAATAAAAAAAAAAATGAAAAACAACCCAATATTATGTTCATCTGCTGTTAATTTTCTTCCTGACTTTACAGTTGATTGAACAAAGAAGGAGAGGGAAGATTTGTAGAGACTGTTTACATAATGCAAGTGTGAATACAATTCTGAGAGACATGTATGCTAATGAAAGAAGAGGCTTCCATCCCACCACAATTGCAAGGGATAAAAATATTCCACTTCTTGAAAACATGGTAACTCTTCATGTATATAGTTGGAAGTGATTAGAAGCATAACATTAGTAAATTAAAATCACAAGCATCATGGAATTATTTGCAGTTCAATTTCAACTGAAAATCAGTCTGAAGAGAAACTCATAACTCCACAGTAAGATACATAAATATTAGTGAGGTTAAGAATTTTAAGAAAACCTGAACACAGTGTCCTAGAAGGCTACTTCTTTCAGGAGGAAAGGGGCCTTGAAAATACCAATGTCCTTGAAATGCTTAATTTGAAGCCAAGCAGCAATGACAAACGACTAACATCACTGATGAAGCGTCTTCCTTCTTACCTTGGATGTGGAGACTATTTGGTTGAAAGGAAGGATTTGATGCTGACTGGTATGTCTTTAGATGTAATCCCCCAGGCTGCTGAAAATGGGGAGTCTGTGGAGTTTGTCTCTGCGTCATGGAAGGAGGAACTGAAATTCTTTGGGGACTGATGTGTTGAGGAGGAGGAGTCAGAGCAACAAACCTAGGAGTTCAGAAACAGAATAAACTATAGAATACTGAGATTTTAAGATAAGAACTGAAGATAATTTCTACTTTACGTAGATCAATACAATGCTTAGGAGTTTGCATAGATAAAATCTTCTAAAAGAACAGTGGATAGCCCAAATACACAGTATGTCTGAGGTTGGAAGGGACTTCTTGATGTCATATGATGCGATCCCTCTGCTCAAACAGGGATACCTAGACCAGGCTGCTCATGGCCATGTCCAGATGCCTTTTGAATATCTTCAAGGAGCGGAACTCCACAACCTCTCTGGCCAACCTGTGACAGTGCTCAGTCGCCTGTACAGTGAAGTGCTTCCTGATGTTCAGGCAGAACCTCCTGTATTTCAGTTTGTGCCCATTGCTTCTTATCCTAGCACTGGGCACCACTGAAAATGAGCCTGGCTTCACAGGAGAGATGCTTCAGTCCCTTCACCATCTTCACAGCCCTTTGTTGGACTCTCTCCAATATGCCCGTATCTCCCTTGTACTGAGGAGCCCATAGCTATATGCAGAACTCCATGTGTGGCCTCAACAGTGCTGAGCAGTGGGAAATCATCACCTCCCTCAAAGCAACATTTTGCCTAATGAAGCTCAGAGTACCATTTCTCTTTTGTATGGCAGGGACACTTTACTAGTTCGTGTTCAACTTGGTGTCCACCGGAACCCTCAGGTCCTTTTCTGCCCAGCTTTAGATGGTGACATATCATAAACTTTGATGACTCTGAAATTAAAACACTGAATTTCAGCTTTACATTGGAAAGATCTTTTAAAATTCTGTGGGTTGGTTTTAATTCATAACTGTAGAAGGTATCCCTTCATAGGCAATTTATTTCTGAGGCATTTTTAGCTGCTAATAGTAAGACTTTTTATCAGCTGTATATGTTAATAAATAGTTATCCTTCCTCACTGTCAGAGAGTGATCAGTTCTGGTCAATGGACACTGTAAGTTATACAGTAGATTCAGGTTTCAAGTTCCAGAAATCTTTGTTCTATGTATGTTACATAGAACAATTGGGAATAAAAATAACCTGCAGGCAATATAATGTATATGAAGGCAAGTGTTAAATTGCTTCCAGCTGAGCAGAGCCTGACCACATCAAAATGTTGATCTGCACTCAAGTGTAAACTGATAAGCCATGCAGAAGAAAGAAAGGTTCAGACTGAGACTGGCAGTGCAGGTGCCACAGAAGTTCATCATTTCATTGGCATATTTTACACAGCTCTGTCACTACTGGCACTACAATGAGACACACTACTAAGTGAGAGGATTTTATAGTCTTGTGTATGTATTTTAATTATATTTCCTATAAAATGTATATCTAGAAGTACATTACAAATGCTTGCTACAGTCATTTTTGCAGAGCGAAAGCAGAGGGAGAACTGGGGACTCGGCCCCATATGACCAGCTATCTACCAGACCAACTAGATCTGGTCAGTAAACGAAAGCTCAGCTTAAGCTCAGGAATGTCTCAATGCCACTTTCTTATTCATGACATGAAAGTTGCTAAGGCCAGTAGAAAGACAGAGGATATTTCTGCAGGAGGGTGAATGAATAATGATATCATATTCCTGTTGCAGAACAGCCACTCTCTTTTCTCCCAAAAGCAGTCTGCATGCTATGTTAAGCAAAAGTACCCACCTTCCCTTCTCCGTGATGGGTGTGCTCACTGGCTGCTGCTAGGAGAGACTGATGCTTGCACTCTGACAGGATCCTGAACCATCAGTCTGGTCCCTGTCCTTCTGAGAATAGACCTCACTACACTAGATAGCATTTTCCTTTACCTAGTATAAAGATTGTTTTTCCTGCACAAGAATAAGGAAGTTGTAAGCTCTCCCTGAGTACAACAGAAGATGTAAGTCCAGAAGGAGCACTACAGAACACCTCTGGACATGGTCATCTAGCACGTAATACAATTAAATCCAAGACACCTGAGATATTTTATGCTACAGCTCAGAATCAGTTTCTGCCACACATCATCTATATGACTTTGACCTTATTTGTTATCTATTTATTATATTTCTGGTAGATGCATAATTTACATTTGTAGTATACTAAATGTCAAAATAAACTTTTTTTGATTTACTGACTGTTCAATTTTCTTTGAGAGTCATATTTTCAGGCATATTAGACACAGATTTAAATGGTCTTTATGATGATTTGATATTAGCTTCAAAAGCACATAAATTACTTCTGACATGCTATGTAGTTGGAGGCAAGATGTCAGTATTGAGTTGTTCAGTCTTTAATGCATCAAATATTTTTTTTTATTCCAGGTAACTGCCACAGTGTATACTTAAAGACATATTAGGGAGGAAGAAAATAAAGCATGAATGTGTTTCACAATAATACTAGAAAATAATTTTGAGAGAAAGAAAAAAACAGTAGCTGTCTTTTGATGAAAACATCAGAGAGTTTTTAAAAAGTGCCACAACTGCCTGGTCTCTCTGAGAAAGGACTGGAGTTAGCTTTTTGTATAGCACTCACATAGAAAGACTGCTATTTGCTGCCAGAGACCAAGAACAATGCACAGTAATTTTTCATTACTACTATTATTTTAAAAATCATTGGATATCATTCTCTGTGCTTTCAAAGTTCATTTGTGAAAATTACCTCTTAAAACTAATTTTCTCTTTTAAGTAGCCTACATTAACAGGCAAAAAAATCCTTTTCGAAACTCAATACGAAAAGCACAGTATTAAAGATTTCACATTTGATTTAACATCTGAAAAATCCTCCCAATGATAATGCACTACTTTGTATAGCCAGACAGGACTCCCTTTTAGTAGACTTCGGTGGTCTTTATAATGATTTATGATTCACTTCATGAATTCCTGGCTTACTCGTATGGGTGACTATAGTTATCTAGTTATATTTCCCTTCTGCCCAACAAAAGAGAAGCTTGGACTTCTCTCAGTCCAGATTTGTCCCCAAACAAACCACTGTATGTTACTGGGGGAACTGCAAATTTAATTTTGTTTCTGGAACAATCATGACCAGCTTGTAACCGCTACGAAATTACCATCAAGAATTGTTGCCAGGCACTAGAGCCCATGCAATCAGGAACCAGCCAGATTTGCAGAAGGGTGCCCTTCCCTATGCCTGCTGGACGCAGAATTAGAGGAAGAATGTTGTTGGAGCTTCAGATAGCCTCTCCCTTTCCAACACTAGCTAGGAAAATGTGTCCAGATAGACAATGACTAGACTAGATAGGAAACAAGATAGATAACAATGTTACCAAATTTTACCAGTTTTGATGAGATCATTTTAAACGGCATATATATATATATATATATATATATATGGGTTTTGTTAATAAGTAGTACTGGATAAGACTACACAGGAAAAAGACTACTCTAGCACTTGTTGATTGGGGCTGGGCTAAATGTAAATTTTATACACAACCTGAACAGCCTGTGGAAAGGAAAGGAAAGGAAAGGAAAGGAAAGGAAAGGAAGGAAAGGAAAGGAAAGGAAAGGAAAGGAAAGGAAAGGAAAGGAAAGGAAAGGAAAGGAAAGGAAAGGAAAGGAAAGGAAAGGAAAGGAAAGGAAAGGAAAGGAAAGGAAAGGAAAGGAAAGGAAAGGAAAGGAAAGGAAAGGAAAGGAAAGGAAAGGAAAGGAAAGGAAAGAGGAATGCTAGTAATAATGGTAGTTTATCTTAGCTGAGTGCCTTGTAGTATGTGGCCACCTGTGAAGTGTTTGATGTGGTGGGGAAACAATCTTTTATGTCTTAGCAAGCATATGTAAAAGGTGTTCTTCACCCAGAACAACAAATGCACTGAGACTCCTTGACTAAAGAACTGGCTTTGCTGAATTGGATGGTCATCAAAGTGCTGAAGGGATATTTTTTGTTGGTGGAGTAAACACAGAGAGCTGGGTGGAGAGAAGCCCTTTTTTATTTAACTTCCCACAAGACAGAACTCTCATTGCAAGCCAAGACAGTAGAGGTAGGTATCATGTAATCTCAAGTTGTCACTGTTCTAGCTGGTTAGAAGCAAGAAAAGCAAGAAAAGAATAACCTTGCAAAACTATGCCTGCCCTAAGGCTGTTTGATGGTATTCCGCTTTTCCATGGAAATTTGAAGAGTCATCCCCTCAGGATTATCTTGGCTGCTTTTTTTTTTTTTTTTTTTTTTTTTTGGTTGGGCTATCAGTTGTTCATTTGATTTTACACTCCCAGCCTCAGGAAGCTCATGGAAGTACATGATCGGTCAAGCAATACTGGACATACTCCTTATAAACGAACCTCTTGGTGGGCTTCTCCTACCTTCACTGCTTGTTGTCTCTAAAACTTGTCATCTCATCGACTTCACAGAGCTCTGTGTAGCTAAATAGCTGTCTCTCCTGCTATGGATGAAGGAGAGCAGGAAATTTGGTCCAAGATTGGAGCCAGCATGCTGATGACAAGAGGGCCAGAACTGGGGAATGTTTGAGTGAGGCAGACTTAAAAGCAAGAATGGACATAGTTAAGGACAGCTGTAAACTTGCTTTAAAAAAAAGTCTAAAGGTAAATTTACTCTGAGCCTTTTCTGTAGTCAAAGAGAAATAACCCTGTCCATTCTTTGACCTGTTTGACTGTTCAAGGAAAAAGGACTTAAAGCTTTTTACCATCTCTTGGTAAATAAGCTAGGTTACAAGAAAAAATGTCTCACACAATCAATTTTTCCTTTTAACAGAAAGAACATGTTATGTACCCAAATACCAAACAACCCACTGGGCTGCAGGACAACAGCTCTCAGTTTAATATCCCTGGAGGTTTTGCACATTTCTGCTTTTGATGTTTCAGATTTGTAGAAGAAAAGTGAATTTTTCTGAATTGGGCAAAAGATTGTTAGGACTTCAAATCTTGTATTTCACTTTTCCTACCTAATAGTTTGCTGGGAAAAAGGTTAATTTCAGTTATTCTGTAGTTTCAAATAAGTCCTGCAGGCGATTAGAAACAAAATAATAACAGCAGATTGTACTATAGTAATGAAAGCAAGTGAAGAGAATATTTTATTTGCTAGGGACACAAAACATTTGTTAAAAACTATACTGAAATGAAGGCAACTGCATCTGTATTCAGCCTCTAAATTTGCACTCATAAAGCTCTACCTACAATCCTCCAGGGGAATAATTCCACAGCAAGTTTCTATCCTAACGGTGTCCAAGGGAAGTTAACTGCACATACTAGTGAATTTAGTTCTATATCCTTCTTATCAGTCATTCATAAGTGTCTAACAATCCTTTTCATGCTTTTTTTCATGCTAAGTCCTCATGCTTTAGGAACAGAGGAACTGTTCTATAAGGTATAACCCATCCATCCAGCCCAAAGAAGAAGTGAGATGAAGAAAGAACAGCCCCTCTGACCAGCACCACAAGTTATTTAGTGAGATGAAGAAAGAAGAGTGGAATTTTTGCAAGGAACCTGTGAGAGGGCACATCAAAATACAGGTTTCCTGGGTACAGAGATAAACCTTTAAAATCTCGCCATTTGCTGTGGTTGTAATGAATAAGAAAACTTTTTTTTTTTTCATATGTATATAGATAAAAAAAAAAAAAAAAAAGAGGAAAACAGTGCCTTTGGAAAAGAGAGAAATTGTGGACAGAAGATAGAGAAAAATTCCATGCTTTGCTAGGTCAGCTCTGGCTTGGCATCAGACCTGTTGCCACCTCCACACTTTAATGTCTGTCATTTGAAGGTGTCATTTGCTCACTAAGAAAAAAAGTGCTAATGTCTCAGCAGCCAATCCTCCCAAGTGCCTCATGCCAGAAAAAAATTACTTTACTGATTTTAAAACCACCCTGTTAAGGTCTCTAACTAAAGGCTTTCTTCAAGCCACCCCATACAAAGGGCTTTGTAACATGTGAAGATCAGATGTCCCAACTCCTTGTTTAGAACAATTCAAAGGCTTTTGCTTCTGAAAGTCTGGCTTGGAGCTACTTACTATTTGACAGCAAAGACAAAAGGAATATAACCACACAGTCAAATAAGCAAAAAGAAGCACTGTCACAGAACTTATAGTATTGCAGTAATGCTAAACTGAACAGTTCAAGTCCTTTTTCCAGCTTTATGTAGTCTCCAGACATTTGTGTGAAATCAGGATGTGTCAGGCTTCGGAGACATACCAGTAGCCCTGCTTCATAGCATGGTGAAAAACATCTAGAATGCCATGTCCAAAGAAAAAGGCTAGACATGGCCTCATGTAAGTTAATGGGCTACTCTTTGCACAAAAGTGAGTCTTAAAAAGCAAAACGTGTATGCTCTTTTGTTGTTGTTGTTGTTTGACTGGTTTTCTTTTTGTTTGTTTGTTTGTGTGTTTGTGTTTTTTTTTTCCTTTTGGTGTTGTTTTTTTTTTTTTTTTTTTTTTTTTTTTCAACCAAGGAAGTTACTATTCAAAATTATTAGAAATAATTTCAAGCATTTGTCATCATCAGTTTTGAGGCACATTAGCTATTCCACATAAAAACAGAATTAGTTTTCTGTTTTTTAAGTAGATCATTTTTTCAGCTTCCCTCAGTGCCCATGTCTTCTTCTATTACTACTTGCTACCTTCATTGAACAGTTGCAGTACTCAAACTAGGGGAGCAATGAAGATCAGAACCTAAGAACTGGAAGAAACAAAATGAAAGCCTGCATTTTTATTATCGAGTTTTGCTCCTTCAGTGAATGAAATTGCAACTCTCTATTTGACTTGCATTTAGTACATAGAGCTTTGTACACAGAATGAAACCAGAGGGATGTGTGCCTCATGTTTAGTTCAGTTTCTCACGTTAGAAAGCTCAGTTTGGTCCACATTCACCCTCCCATTACCTTAGTGGAGAAAGATGGAAAAGAAGCCTTGCAATTATTTCTGTATCCCATGGCCACTGAGAGGTAGAAAAAGCAATTATTTCTTTTTGCTGCTGTCACTCACAAGCCTGAGTCTGCTGTCTGTAATGGAAAGGGCATATGAATGGTCCCAGGGTCAGAAAAGCTGCTAGGCAAGCTTGGACTGTGTTTGTTCCAGCAGATGTAAGCCATTGCAGGGACAAGTGCCAGTCAGTCCATCCTAACTCTGGAATGAACCCAGGAATCAACCTGTGGCATGTCAGGAACTGTACACCATGAGGGGGACAAATCCCCTCTTTGCTCCTAAAACCTGCGGTCATCTCAATGATTTGATGGACCTTTAAAGGTCCCACCCAAGTCAAACCATTCTATGATTCTATGGGGATAAGCAGGGGAATTTACATGTTTCAAAGACACTATTTCAGGCACTTTGCATACCAAAATGTTCTTTTGTTCCACTCACATTTTCACAGCTACAATCAGATCCAGAAAGTGGTGTGACAGACTACTTGCAGGACCCTTACGCAAGTGAACCGTATCAGATTCAAAATGCAGACTCTGTATTAATTTTTATTTTAAACAACATTTGTCTTAATTTTTACTATATGCTCTGTAATCAAACCAAAACCGCTGTAATATACTTTTTTTTTTTTCTTTTTCTGAATTTAAATTGCCATATGTCCCACTGCCCAAGTGAAGATACTGGCATATTTTTTTTTAATCCAGAGTAACTCCACAGATGGGAAATAGCACTTAACCCCTTTAGAAGAGAGTGTACACAGCTAACATATGAGAAAGGGCCTTATCATGATAATTTCTAATATTGCTATTCTGTAGAGAACAGTAGCATCCTGAGGTCTGTAACCCATTCAAGAACTTAATGAATTAAGTCATTCTGTAAATATGCCTGATATGTTTTCCCCTGTGTAAATGCTTCAGAAATGGTCTAACGAGAAGATTACTGTCTTCTACCATGAAATAGTAATAACTGTTGATCTGTCCCTGTCTGTCATCTCATGCTCTGGTAGTTATTAGATAAGGACATCAGACCAGTCACACACTTGACAGAAACTACAGAAAACGACACTGGTAAATAAAAGCAGGGCAAGAGAGTACATGTAGCCCCAGAGTTTGTACACAAAGCCAAAGCCAGGGTAAAGGTTTAAGAATGTGTGGCCAGAAGTGAGGATGAAGGCCTGAACCACTAGGTCACTGTGGAATGGCAATCTCTGACAGGTGTGTCAACAACTTTCAATGAGTGGGTGAAAGATTCACCCAAAACTGGCTGAATTCACTTATGTCATCTGAAAGTGAGAAGTACTTTCACCTCTTACCAATTCCCTGAACCATTGTCCTCTTGCATCTTCCTTATACAAAATGGAGTTTCAACTGCTTTCCTCAAAGAAATATGTTTGTATATAAGTAATTAAAATCTAGTGAATGTTTTTCTCAGGATTATAATTGTGTGCTCTCCAGATTACTGGGATTTCTATATATAGATATTTATTTCTAGATATAGATATCTAGATATAGATATAGATATAGATATTAGATATCTATTTCTATAGATACTGGGTAGAAGATTAAACACTTTAAAATATATTAATAACATACTGCAATCTATAATTTAGAACAATGAAAACCAGGGTGATTAAATAAATAATGTTTTTAAGTATCCTTATACATATGGTAAGAAGTCATTATTTTGTTCACATTGAAGTGTGATAGCTGTCCTTGATGGCTTTTCTACTGGAAGCCTCTTCTGCTTCTTCGGTCTTGCAATCTGGTAGACTTCTGTTTCAGTGAACTAAGTGGAGATCTATAACATCATACACTATATAAATAATTTGAAAGGCTTATGAAAATAGTTCAAGATGTGTTTGAAGATTAAAATTAAATTACTTTCAAGCAATTTGCTTTCACATCATTAAAATCTAAATTCAAGTCATCAAATCAACCAAAGTCACGGGTTTGTACCTAGCCAGCATAAAATAAATCCTGATTAGAAATTAAGCTCTCAAACCAATTAATTAAAAATAAAATCAATTCATTCAAGTTTGTTCTTACATAATAGTAAAAATGCCAAGTTCCTGCAGAAATAGTCAGTATTAAGAGAATATTGAAAGAAAAGAGATTAATTTAAGACTCTTCTACCACAAGTAAACAGAAACATGAATCTTGGGGTTCCCATTCTGTAAGGTGTTACCAAGCTCTTTTGAAGTTTAGTGTCCCAGCCAGTATGACTTTCCTTGACCAGGGCATGGGTGGAGATAAAGGCAGAAGGAAGTTTGAAGGAAGTTCATGAAATGGAGTTGTATGGAAAGCCCACCACGGCACCATCAGGCTGGTATAGTGGAGTCCCTTTCAACTCTCCCTTCCCATGTAAACCCAAACCTAGAGCAATTGTTCCCCAGTGGCTGCTATCAACAACTTTCTGAACACCAAGTCCATTTCCACCAGTCCTGACAGATCTGAAGGCAGTCCCAACTCAGGCTCAGTGTGAAACAAGCAGGGGGTGGTCTTACCTTTCGGAGTCCGGTGATGAGAGAAGAGGTAACTGGGAAGAAGGATGGAGAGGACTACTTTGTACGTTACGTGCTGGGGATGGGTGGCTGCTGGGCTGAGGCAAAGACACAGTCCCAGCCACTGTTCCATTTCGAGTTGTTTGCGTGCTGGGAAACACAGACACTGAAACCGAAAGGAGAGATAAAACCTTCATCAGGCAGAGACAGAAAAAATAACTAAATAATCTTTGTTGCTCCCAAATGATGCTCTCATAAAACCAGGCAGGACAAAATTGTGCACTTTGTCTTGGGAATTTTGCCTGAATAAGCTGCAATTCTTCTATAGATTCATCCTGTATAAAAGATGTCAAATATATACTAAGGTATATAGAAATAAAAGTATATAAGGTATATAAGTATATATATAAGGGTATATATATATAAGTATATATATATAAAGTATATACATGTATAAGGTATACACAAAGCATAGCTTTGTAAGTAGTGAAATACTTCTATGTGTTCCCAACTGCAAACCTGACATTTCTCAAAGACCTCAACCCAAACCAAAATATTATTTCTCCCAGATTGCCCAGTAATATATGCAAAAATGCTAACCTAGCATTAAAAGATTCATAGGTTTCTGTGGAGGTTTTTGTATGCATTTCCAAATAAGGAAAGCTTCTAAATGATTAAGCTAAAAGCACTACAGCACTCCCCCCTTTGCCCTAATGAATTGTCCACAAACCCTGTAATCTAATTTTCAGAAGTTCCTAAAGTTAGGCAGTAAGACCCTGATTGTCAAATCCTTCTGAAGGTCCAGATACACAATTATTTTAAATGAAATCTGTCTCAGGTAGTTTATGTTCACACTGAGTGGTAGCCAAATAAATACTCCTGAATATTTTATGAGCCCTGTTACAGCCTGTAGGCTGTCTACAACATGAAAATGAGCTGTCACTGCTTGTCATATCTTCCAGTCTTTTTCACACAGAATCACACAGAATATCTAGGTTGGAAGAGACCTCAAGATCATCGAGTCCAACCTCTGACCTAACAATAAGCAGTCCTCCACTAAACCATATCCCTAAGCTCTACATCTAAACGTCTTTTAAAGACCTCCAGGGATGGTGACTCCACCACTTCCCTGGGCAGCCCATGTCTAACAACCGTTTCGGTAAAGAAGTTCTTCCTAACATTCAACCTAAAGCTCCCCTGGCGCAATTTTAGCCCATTCTCCCTCGTCCTGTCACCAGGAACGTGGAAGAACAGACCAACCCCCACCTAGCTACAGCCTCCTTTAAGGTATCTGTAGAGAGCAATAAGGTCGCCCCTGAGCCTCCTCTTCTCCAGGCTGAACAAGCCCAGCTCTCTCAGCCGCTCCTTGTAAGACTTGTTCTCCAGGCCCCTCACCAGCTTGGTCACCCTTCTCTGGACTCACTCAAGCACCTCCATGTCCTTCTTGTAGCGAGGGGCCCAAAACTGAACACAGTATTCGAGGTGCGGCCTCACCAGAGCCAAGTACAGGGGGACAATCACTTCCCTAGCCCTGCTGGCCACACTGCTTCTTATACAAGCCAGGATGCTGTTGGCCTTCTTGGCCACCTGAGCACACTGCTGGCTCATATTCAGCCAACTGTCAGCCATCACTCCCAGGTGCTTCTCTGTCAGGCAGCTTTCCAACCACTCTTCTCCCAGCCTGTAGCTCTGGTTGGGGTTGTTATGCCCCAGATGCAGGACCCGGCACTTGGCCTTGTTGAACTTCATGCAGTTGACTTCAGCCCATTGGTCCAGCCTACCCAGATCCTCCTGCAGAGCCTTCCTACCCTCAAACAAAGCGACACACACGCACCTAACTTGGTGTCATCTGCAAACTTACTGAGGGTGCACTCAATGCCCTCATCCAGATCATCGATAAAGATATTAAAGAGGACTGGCCCCAGTACCGAGTCCTGGGGGACACCACTAGTGACCAGCCTCCAGCTGGATTTGACTCCATTCACCACAACTCTTTGGGCCTGGCTATCCAGCCAGTTTCTAACCCAACAAAGCGTACACCAGTCCAAGCCATGACCAGCCAATTTCTTGAGGAGAATATTATGGGAAACTGTGTCAAAAGCCTTACTGAAGTCAAGGTAGACCACATCCACAGCCTTTCCCTCATCCACTAAGCGTGTCACTTTGTCATAGAAGGAGATCAGGTTCGTGAAGTTGCATGACTGGGCCTGATCACCCGCTTGCCCTGTAAGTGCCGTGTGATGACACTCAAGATAATTTGCTCCAAAAGCTTCCCTGGCACTGAGGTCAAACTGACAGGCCTATAGTTCCCCGGGTCTGCCCTCCAGCCCTGCTTGTAGATGGGTGTCATGTTTGCTAGCCGCTAGTCAACTGGGACCTCCCCCAACATCCAGGACTGCCGATAAATGATGGAAAGTGGCTTGGCCAGCTCCTCTGCCAGTTCTCTCAGTATCCTTGGGTGGATCCCATCCGGCCCCATTGACTTGGGCACATCCAAGTGCCGTAGCAGGTCGCCAACCATTTCCTCATGGATAATGAAGTCCACATGCTGCTCCCCATTCCCTTCACTAAGCTCAGGGTACTGGGTATCCAGAGGACAACTGGTATTGCTGCTAAAGGCTGAGGCAAAGAAGGCATTAAGCACCTCTGCCTTTTCCTCATCTTTTGTAACAAGGTTTCCCCCCGCATCCAGTAAAAGACAGAGATTCTCCTTAGTCCTCTGTTTTGTGGTGTTTTCTAAAAATAAGTTTTGTTTAGGCCTAGTTTATAGTATAAAATTAAATCTGTAAAGCTTACATTATGCTAGTGAGTATGTTGGAGCTAATGATTCAATTTTATTCACAAAATCCTAAAATTTAAATCAGTTTGCCAAAAGGTGAACTCATAACAGGTCTTCCTATGTCTAAAATACCTGCATCGATGCTGTAGAACAAACACTGATTTAGGACTAACCCCACCACAAACCCCTCTGCAAGAAAATGACTTTTCAGGTAACAATTTTGAATGTTGGTACCCAAGATCAAAACGTTGAGAAGTTCATCTCATTTCCCGAGTCGTCAGCATATCTTTGTAATGCCTCTGTTCCTCCTCATGAGCCAACCTATGTGACACTGAGTACTCAACAGGCTACAGCAGAGTTAAGGAAAGTTTCAAGAGTGTAATTATACTGTAACCTCATTACAGAGCAGTCCTGGACATGTTTCAGCTGGTAGAGATGACAGAAAATGGTGGAGATGGATGAAAAATTTTGAGTAAAAATATCTAATACAGACACTGTTAAAATTTAGGGAAAGTAGGCATTAGCCACACTGTTGGGCAAAGCTGGAGAAACGGAGACTGCCCTACCATGTGGCAAGGTTGGCCAACAAAAACACCTATGGCTGCCCTCTGCATTAGCCCCTACTGTTTGTTAAATCTTATTTTGGCCAGAGCCTCCCAATGACAATGCAAGTGACATCAGACATCTGATAGTCGAAGGCCTTTCCCAAATCTTGGAAAGACACAGAGGATGCAGATCCCACAGTGATATGAAAGATACTTTAAGCCAGAGAGGTAACTCAGTAAGAAAGGACTGGGAAAGAACCTCTCTAAGATAAGCAGAAAATAGCTTTTTTTGCTTGTTTTTTACTTTCGTCTTGCACCCCTAAAACTGCTCTCTTCACTTCTGTCTCTTGGAGTAGCATCAAGATGAATGCAGAGGGAAAGAAAAGAGTGCTCTTTAGAAGTTACCATTTCATGCTTACATGCAGCATGGGAGAAAATATTGAAAAATAAATTTACGTTCTGACAGAATAAGTAGAGAGACTATTTAACATTAAGCAGGAAATTCAAAATAAACTTTTTATTTAAGTAAAAGAAGAGAGAATTTTAATTACTCCTTGATATAGAAAATATGGAGTAACCTGCATTTTTTTCAATGAGAAATGTGCAAGAAAATACAACAACTTGATTTTTCCAGTACTGTGATCTTAATGTTAAAAACAATTTATTTCAAGACTGTGGTAGATAAGGCTGTGGTAGAAAAGGCTGGACTATAAACGGGTTTCCAGCCTAAGGTGGCAGTTGTTCTTCCTTGTCCTAGCTGAAGGTGAGGATTTCAGGCAGGTACTTTCTAAGTTGTGACTGCATGTTTCTAGCTAGACCAGGCTGCTGTGGTAACACAGGTTCCATCAGCACTGCCAGAGATCTGGTAACTCTGCTCTTTGGAAAAGGCTACCTGCAGCCAGGAATGGGCAACCACCTGCTATCTGCGGAAGCTTCTTTTTCTAAAACAGAGCAACCCAATGCCCACTGCAACATCCACCATCATAGCCTATCTACTACAGTAGTACCTTTTGGATATGTTTCCCGGGAATTCTGCATTTGTTTCTGCTTCTGATGATCGGATACTACAGAGTGTAAAATAAGAGCTATGTCAGAGATCAGAGGAGCAGGTAAGACATTCATGGAAAAACAAAAACAAAACAAAACAAAACAAAACAAAACAAACAAACAACAACAACAACAAAAAAAAAACACCACAAAACCACAAAGACTTGTGGCTACTGTTCTTCTGTGGGCCTTCCATAGCTCAAGCTGCATCATGATTTAAAGATGCATTCATCCTGACTATGAGCCTTGGGCTGGATTATAGCCACAAAGATCAATCAATTACAGTCACAGAGAAGGAGGGGGTCAAGTTTTCATTTCTGGAGTACCATCACAAACTCATTTAACAAAACATAATTAATTTCCAAGAGAATACCTCTGTAAAGATATTTTCTTTATGAGAAGCTAAACTCACATGAATTCTCATATATATAGGAATAAATTAGGTGGATAAGACAGAAAAAGCAGACGCTGAATAAGGTTCCTTTAAAAAATCTCACAGAAGCATCACATTAAAAGTTTCAGAATCCAATGCTTAATTTTTTATTTTTATTTTCTATGGAGCCAGAAACCTATAATTTCATGGAACATTTTTAAAACAAGAATAATCACACTTCTCTTTGCAAATTAACTAAAATATACCATCAACCATGGTATAATTTACTAGCTTGGATTTAGTACTACCAAATAAGAACTCTGTCAATTTCTACCCCCAAAACACCTCTCCTCTTATCACTGCCACCATGAATTTGGAGGTCTGAGAATCAGACCATACAGGAATAACGGTGTGAAGATTTC